ACCCACAAATCCTTCCGTGCACTCCGTGTCATCATCATCTTCCTCTCTCATCAAGACGTCGAGTTTCTCACGCGCTCCAATTCACTGTTAACCTCCCCGACCCTCTCCTCTAAACTTTGCACCACATTATGTACACTTCCTCTAACTCCACCAGTGTTTACAAATCTAGGCATGTGTTGTAAATTTTCCTCACTTGCACTGGTATCCCTTTGGCCACCCATCCTTCTCATGCTAGAATTTCGTCGTGGCACATTATCGGCGTTAATTCTGCCGCTTCGAATGCTTCCTTGTGACAGTGTACCCTCGAATGATGATATTTGTGACGGGGTCGGCGATCCGTGGAATATTATTCTTCCACTATTATTCATCCTTCTTATTGTTATACTGGGTGTTGGGGATATTACGTTGAGCCTATCACCTCTACCGCCCAATGAGTTGGTGGTGGTGGTGTCCACGTCACCATCACTTGGACCGCTTGTTCCCGCGTTACCACTGCTATTATTACCGTCCGTCTCCGACGCTAGATTGGTTTCATTGGTGGACTCCGTTATCTCACCGCCGACTTCTATTCTGATGTTATCTTGCCCCGATTCTGCCACGCTGCCGAATATATTTGAGGCGTGAAGACGTTGTTGCAACGACTCTTCATTTTCCAAACTTGATGAAGAGGGACCGGAGCTTGAGATCACACCTCTGTTACTACCACTACTCTCATCCATTCCACTGAACAAGCTGCTGTCCACACCTCTATTGCTGCTGCCGCTTTCCTCCATTCCACTTTCATCCTCATACGATGTATCGTCGGCGAATGTCCTCACGCCACCTCTGTTATAAATTCCACCGTCGTTACTTCCCCCTATCGAATCTTCCACATAAACATCACTACTGTCGATAAATGCACTATTATTCATCTGAACCTGATCAAAACCGATCACACAGACCATAGGAAATGCGCCCTCCCTGCCGGTGTTTCGGTTCACACCTACCGCCCACCCATCATCAAACATCTGTTTCACCTCTATTATATCATTCTCCGTCAAATCTAGCTCGTCGGGCATCTGTGATGAGTATGGGTACACCACTATCACCAATATCGGCTGTCCCATAATAACCGAATCGGTGGTGGGGTTTTGTTGCGGTAGAGTCTCCTCGATGAAATCCAAGGAGAGCGGATCAACTTGGTAAGTGTAATCATTCAACCTCAAAACTCTCGAACTGTGTGTAGAAGGTGTTGCACCACCTCCTAAGGGTACTTCCCCTTGTCTCACTTGAACCATCCTACCGCCGCCATCGTCCACGCTGTTATTAGACAATGGTCTCGCATAATTGCCCGGTGTGTATGTTTCTCTGGTCACCTCTGTCGAAATTCCATCGCCACCGCTGTTTGGTGCCTTGAGATATTGATAATCGGTGAAATATGAAACTCGTTTATCCACCTTCTTTTTCCTCAATTTATAACAACATGCAGCCAAACCCAGTAATAAGGCCGCACCAAAGATTGTGCATAACGTGATTATCAATGTCTTAGAATTAACTGAACCATGATCCGTCGAGGGTGGGTTGTTATTTTTCGATATGGTAGTGGTGTTATTCGATGAGGAATTGTGCGGAAAGCACATTGAGGACAACGTGGAATTTATGTTGCAGCATGATTCATTCATGAACTTGCAATATTCGCAATATAATCTTGTGTCTAGGAAGCCTAGCAATATAAGAGTCAAGGGTTGAGAATTGTTAATAATTTGTTTGTGTGTGATCGAAGAGATTTTGCGCGGGCACGCGCTACCCTGGGAAAAAGAAATCAAGAGAACACCAGAAGAATTGCATTTCTACTCGATGACGACGTAGTCGTCACATACATTCTTCCAACTAGGTGGATCAACCCTCCAAATCAATCTGACGTTCCAAAATGAAAGTCCCAAAGAAGTGAGATGGCTATTTCCTTTCGATCAAATTCATACGTACATTATCCGAATTCCTAAAATTTTTACTTCTTCACTTGTAAGTTCAATCAGTCTCATCGCCCGAAATCCTAATAAATGATCCCATTCCTTTTAGTTCCTCATCATCCATTCATTAAAATCCTTTTACCTCTTTCGCCAGAAAATTACATTCTAACAACCCTCCTCGATATCCCTCACGTGACCAAACATCCAATCACATTGCGTCCTCCCCCAAAAAGAGAAAGTAAACTCACCACACTCATTTTCATTCATATCTCCAGAAATGCACGTCGAATCGTCGGACACGTTGGACTCTTGTTCACACCAATTGCTCACAGAACTCAACACCGAGCTTATCGGTGATGTACTATTGCAACTCTGACTAAGACTGTTGGAGAAATTTTGCAGCGAGTGGATGTGATCTTGACAAGTACTACTACACAACCTTCGAAAAGGGGAAGGGATGGAGATGCCTGACGGAGTTGCAATTGAGGACTGTGTGGTAGCGGTAGATTCGACGGTGCTTGTCAGAAGTGTATCATAACCCAAGCTTTGAATGCAGGGCAATGAAATTTCATTCTCCACCAACTCCGCGCATACTATTGTGGTAGTGTACCTAGCATACATCGAGGAAGAGTTAAGACTCGTGCAATTCATACCACTCCACTCGATGTAACTGTTAGCCACGTATTTCGTTAATAGTTCATCAAAGCTTGTGATGTTGTTTACTTTTTCGATCCAACTAAATTTTCCGCCTTCGACACTCATCAATTCTGAGGATATCGAGTAGTTCGCGAATGCGCTACAGACGGTAGAACCTTTTAAAGGTAAACACGGAGACCACGACGGCGATTGTGCGAGAGTGATTGTAAATAACGGGGATACTATTAAGGGCACATAGATTATTGTTAACAATAGGAAATGCGAGAAGGGTTTTGACGAGGAGGGAAGAGCGCGTGAGAAACTCGACGTCTTGATGAGAGAGGAAGATGATGATGACACGGAGTGCACGGAAGGATTTGTGGGT